GGAGTCAAAAGTTCTACGTGGATTTTTGACTGCTCAGGGTGTTGGTTCCCCTAACCCCTGCGTTGTTCATGGGTCAACTGTGTAACTTTTCTTCTCACAACCTTGTGTGGTTCAAGATATTCAGCACTGTCAGATTAAAAAAAAAAATGCAGGTCCAAGCTTTTCACAGTTGGTTATTATGTTTTCATAAGTACATATTATATTTATACTGAATTTAGTTTCCTAATTTTTCCTCACACAGTCAGGGGCAAGAAATCCTGCTCCCCTACCAAAGTATTGCCCTTAACTGCCAAGGAATTAAATTTGATCAGGAACCTCTTCTATTGAGAGAAGTAGATAAAGAATAAGAGGTTTTTAAACTACTGGTTCTGCACTTTTTGGTCCACGGCAGCCTTCGCCCTTCCTGACAGCTGACCTGAGCTGAGACGCCTGGGCACAGGCTCCAGGAAGTGCACAGTTGGGATCATCGGGGTTGGGATTTTGTCAGGGGGCTCAGAAGAAGGGCAATCAATCACAGGCTTTGAGGACATTGACAAGAGAGAGTGGCTGAAGTTCTGACTCTAGAAATTGAAGTTGAATAGAGTAGAAGGTAAAGTAAGGGTTGCTACCAAGTAATGGATGCGGTTGGAGATATAAGATGCAGCTAAGATACATAAAAAGATACAAGGTTCTGGTGAAAAGGCAAGATTTCAAATGTCAGACGTGAAGAAATATCCAGGTGAAGTTCAGACCTATTAGTGAGGCCATAAATGTGGCTCACGGAAGTGAAGCGAGGCGAATGTCACCGGATCTGAGGAGGGAAAGGAAACTGAAGCACCAGGGCTCGATGAACTGTCCACACAGACAATGAAGACAATCAGGATGGCAGCATGATTGGGTCCAAACTGGATAGCTGTGAGCCAGGGAACCAAAATTTTCAGCAATCGAGGAAGAGCAATGACAGTAATTAGGAGGGACAGAGAGATAAGACCAGATGGCAGGACCACAAAAGAGAGTGTCCTGAAAGGAATAACTGTGTGAGAGAGGAATTAGGAAGTGACACTGAGACGCATGGAGCGTGGGAGAAGCAGTACCATTCTCTTGAGAGGGCTGCAGCAGAAGCAGATGCCCAGCGTGAGCCAGGTTCCAGGCAGGAAACACAGGAGGGAGCCATCAGTGAAGCAGATGAGGCTGTTGGCGAGTTCCTGAGGGCACCCGGCACAGCGGGAGACTGCATCACAAAGATGAGATGCAGGGCAGTGTGGGGATCAACACCAAGAAGGTGAAAATGACCAAACTCTCAGTTTATTTTTATCCACATTGTCTTCTGTATATTTAAAATGTTTTTTGTTTCAAATATTTTTCAGAACAATGTGGGCTATACTTTAAAAAAAAAATAACTTCAAACTTTTAAACATTGCATGCCAGATAAACCTGAAGTTTTTTTTTTAAAGGCTCACAAAAAAATAAAAATAAAGAAATAGGGAAACTCTCAAACAACGGTTAACCAAACAATACTGATAAACCTAAGTTTTCCTATTATTTTTCATTCATTATTCTTGGCTTGAAAGAATACAGGGAAGAAGAAACAAGTAAGTATACAAACAAGAGACAAATATTGGTGTTGCTGAAAGAATACAGAAAAAGGAGCACTCAGATTTCTTTATTATATTATTTATCTACCTCCTTAAAAAACCACAAGTGAGTAGAGTCACTGCTGGAAGGAGCACAGTGTGTTTGTATTAAAGACATACTATTTTCTTACCAAAACTTGACTGAGATAACAGACTAAGAAGACACAGAGTAGGCGCTTACCCTCCAAGCTGGTTTGCGTGCTAGAGAGCTTGGTGAGTGTTAAGAAAGTTGATAAGGAAATAAACAAGCTTAGAAAAAAAAGAAAAGAAAGAAAAGAAAGTTGACAAACTATGAACCTCTTCCCCCAAAAGATTGACATTGAGCTGAAACATATAACATTTCGCTCCCCATTTCACGGGGTTTAAAATCCATGAAAGAGCATTCATGAGTAAGACTAAGAGCAGTGAAGCTTAGGGAAGTGGCCCAAAAAAAGCCAATCAGAGAGCTAGCTCCTCAGGAAAGGAGACATTTGCTTAGGAAAATTCCTGGGGGGGGAAGTAGGGAAGCTCCTGTGTCAGGGTTCAGATGGATTTGAGGGTAGTGGTTTTGAACCAGGAGAAGTGAATGGTTCCAGGGACCAGGAAGACAGAGACTTCATTCCAAACACCTACCTATAAGAGTGATAGGTCACACCTTGAAACGGGTACTAATAATAATCATCGTTGGGAAATCCAGAAGTGAGAGATTCATACAGGGAAGAGTGAAAAATGCCCAGAGTCTGGATTCAGACAGACCTAGCATCAGACTCTCACACCACTTGTGTTCAGCTCCTTGTTGAAAAGGTCCGAGCCTCTAGGCCTCACATGTAAAATGAAGAGAGTTCATGGGCTGGGGTGAAAATTACGTAAGCTAATACATGTGATATATTTAGCATAAAGCCTGGCACCTGATAGCCCGAAGAAAATGGTAGTTGCACCTTTACATGTGCAGATTTGGAGAACGACATTAACTACCCCATGTGCTTACCAAGAACACCAACTGAAGAGATGGGCCGTGCCGATGCTGTTTTCCAGGGTGCTCCAGAGGAAACTGACCACTTAGTTACATTCCTCTCAGCCAAGAAAGCATACTGCAGGGCTCTCGCTTGCCCTGATTTCCGAAGGTACATGAACAGCTCCTCCTCCTTCTTGATGCCCACCTCATAGGGGTACTGTACGGCAGCCTGGACTGCACGGACACAAGTCTCCTGAGAAAGGCACCCAGGGTGCTGCTTCCGCATCTTCAGGAGGGCGTCACTGAAAATAGAGTCCATGTTGGGCAAGCTCTGAACTGGCTTGTTGCAGAGTCTACGGGATTCTAGAGATTGATCTGAAAGAAGTAAGCAAGAAAAGCAGATCTGGAAATGTTACTCATACTAAGGGAAAAATGAGTAAAGAATAATAACAATCTGTTCAAATTCAAAGTACTAAATTAAACACTATTCATCAAGATACTTAATGTAACACTCATACCAAAGTCCCTGACATCATTGCCACTTAGTTCCATAAGAATTTACAAGATCCAAAGCAATTTCAAGTTACCTAATTCAGGCACAAAAGCAGCATTTTTCTTTTATTCCAAGGCCAAGACAATTTTATAATAGAGTGAATATTAATCTGTCAGTCTGTTTAAGGAAAATAGTTCTGAGTTAATCACATATTAGATTCAAAGTAACTTTAACTCTATTCCTAATAGTAACAAAAACTTAAAAATACCAAGAAAATAGTATGATGTTGGTACAAGGATAGACATAAAAATCAGTGGAAGAGAACTGATTTTTAACACAGATGCTGAAACAATTCAATGAGAGAAAAAAGGAGTTTTTTCAATAAATGGTGCTGAGACAACTGGATAGCCACAAGCAAAAAAAAAATAAATAAACTTAGATCCTTATCTAGCACCACATAAAAAAAATTAACTCAAAATGGATAATTCTAAATTAAAGAATTAAAACTATAACCATTTCTAGAAGAAAACATAGGAAAAACCTTTGTGGTCTTGGGTTAGGCAAAGTGTTTTTAGCATGATCCATGAAGGAAAAATAAATCAATAAATTGGACTTCATCAAAATTAAAAACTTCTGTACTTCAAAGAACACCATTAAGAAAATGAAATGATAAGCCCTAGACTGGGGAAAAACATTTGCATGGTAGACAGAATAATGCCACACCCCACCCCCACCCCTGCAGCAAATGTCAAGTGTATGGAGGACCAAGTGGATGAGGGAAAACGGCTCAGCTGTCAGTATTTTGCTTAAACAGGGAGCTGGTGCAATCGACACTCACAACAGGCAGAGACTGGGATCCTTACAGCGACTCTCTGTCCTTGTGACATTGCCACTCTTCCCACCGTGATGAGTTGATTCTCAACACCACAGCACATATTACAGTTATCTGAGGAGTTTAAAAAGTTCAGATACCCAAGCCCCAAAATCTTTAAGGGTGGGGCCTAGGCATGAGTATTTTTTAAAAATTCAATTTGATTTTGAGGTGTAGCTTCTGGGAGGTCCAAGAGCAAAGCATTATGTCAGCCACTGTATGAAGGACAGCTACAGCTCCTGGCGAGTTTACCCTGGGCCAAAGATTGAAAAGGAAAGAGAATAGAAAGGAAAAAAAAAAAAAAAAGAGGAAGAGAACAAAAAAGTAAAAACAAACCCGGCTTAATGGTGTACAGTAAATATTGCTGATCAGCAATATCTTGTTATCCTGGGGATACTCAAAACCTCTCAGACTGCAGATGTGCATTCTGGGAGCTATCATGGCACTTGTCAAGAACAGCCTAGGGCCAAGCAAAGTACAACCACTGGAGAGTTTGGGATCAAGGCGCCATAACTGATGGTTTTTCCCTGTTCAATTTTCTATCCCTTTGTTGCTGTAGCTGTAAGTGAAGGATGTTACTCTTTAACAACTTTGGTTTATTACTACGAAATATATTCAGAATTTTCACAGCAACTTGTCTGTTCCCCTTCCCCTCTTTCCCCAGCGCTATTCCCCTCCCCCAATTCCCCAATAAAATCTTTAAAAAAAAAAAAGAATTTTCCCTTTAGGTCTACAGGTCTGATATTTTCAAAGTGTGTTTTGTATATGCTTGGTAGTTTTAAAGTCTTGGTAGTTTTAAAGTTGCTTAGCTGTACCAACATAATAAAAGAGGCCAGTGTGAACAGGTCAGCACCAGTATTCACTGCCCAGAAAAATGGAGAAGAACTAATTATTCAAATAAGCTTATAATTGAATTCTTTCCTTGACCCAATCACATTTTTTTCTTCATTCTTTGAGGTTTTCTAAGGCATAATATTCAAGTTTTGATTTTAAAAAAAGTGAATCGCGCTCCTAATAGGAAGAAAAGGAGGCAATTTTTTCCTATTTCCTTTCTGGTAAACTGACAGGAAGAGGTTTTCTCTCCCTCGGATAAAGAAAGATGCAACATGCCATTTGTAGAAATGGTTTCCTAAGACATAAAGGACTTTCTGTTCTCTAATTCTGATAAACAGTAAGCTGTGTCTGTCACAGGAGGTCTTCAAAGAACAGACAGAACCACTGCCCCTTTACAAGCTTCCTGGAGGTCACCCACAGAAGTTGGGTAGCATGTCAAAAGTAATTTAAATTTAGATATGTGCCTAGGCCTCCTATGTAAGGCAGGATCACTTTGCTCTTGTGAAACATGTTTATATAAATGTTCACAGAGAGTGAAAATAAATTACAAAGAGCAAAAGAGAAAATGAAGAGAAAGGCAGATAAAACCTCTAAGATTTTTTTTTAAACCACAAAATCAAAGTGAACAAATAGACCAATGTCTTTAGGCAGAATTAGAATTGTTAAAAATGGCTAACACAACCCAATGCAGTCACAGTACAGGACCAGGGTTCATTACAGGGACAAAAGCTGGGCATTAGGTTCCCGAGTTGAGGCTCCCGGTTGGATGTCCCCTGTGCTCATCTTTGAATAACAGTACACACTTTCAGCTTCCTGCCAGAAACATGCACGTGGGCACAAGGAGTTCTAACTCAGTTTAGGAAAAAGCAGGCTGCTGGCCAAATGCAAATGCAAATAAATAGCATTTTCCAGGACCCTCCCTCCCCAGTTTAGCCAAAGCAATCTGGTTTGGCCAAGTAATTCTGAATTGCTCTGCTAAATCTACTGCACTGCAGTAGTCTGAGAGGCTTCATATAACAAGAGCATTAAGATGCAAAAAGCTAATTAACTTTCACAGTTAACCCTCCAGGATACATGTTAAGTTTGTAGAGAAATTTGCAGCAACTTCCCAACTCACATTTTTAGATCCATTCTACAATCCCCTCCCACACATAACTGGTTCCAAAACTGCTGACTGCAATATTGCCCATTGGAAGTTCCCTTCTCTCGTTTCCTATTGGATGTGGAAACTAAATAAGTGTTCTTAATCTTTTCCTTTTGTTGTTTTTTTAAGTCAACATTTCAACCGTGGGGCTGGGAGTAGGGAAGAGGGTGGAAATAGGTTGAATTAATGTAACATTTTTACAAGTAGGAAAAGGAAACTTAAATTTTACATGTATTTTTAAAATTGAGATATAATTCACATATCATAAAAGTCATCGTATTAAACTTTACAATTCAGTAGTTTTTAGTCTATTCACAAGGTGTGCAACCATACATATATGTTTTTTTAACCACTCCTTTCATAACTGATTTATTAGTATCTTTAAGACTTCAGGTAGTGTTAGCATGCCAGGTGTAAAAAAGTCAAAACTAGGAAAAGTTATTTCCATTCTTACCCTTGTTCTTCTACATCAGTGGCTCTCAAAGTGTAGGCCCAAGAACACACAGCATCAGCATCACCTAAGAACTTGTTAGAGATGAAAATTCTTGGGCCCCACCCAGACACACCGAATCAGAAAGCAATGAGTGGGGTCCTACAGTCTGTTTTAACAAACCCTCCAAGTGATTCTGATGCACAGTAAAATTTGAGAACCATTGTTCTAGAGCAAGACAATTGTACTAGCTTCACATACCTATAGATTTGTAAATGCACACATATTTATTATTGATACATTTCAATATAAAGATATATTAATATGCTCTATAATAATTATCTGTTATGAAATATAAGTATCTATTTTTATAATCGAGTTTTGTGGAGCCTGTACTTTAAATCAACCCAGCCATTTTGTTCTGCCAAATAACCACATACTAGTAGCTACATTTAAAGGCAAAAAAAAAAAAGGAAAGCAGGGAAACATAAAAAGAAAGGAAAAGTACAAGACCTCAAGTGAAAATGAAAGGCAAACTAAATAAGCCTAGCTAAACTACATATTTGATAAGATAATAAATGGCTAATGTAGGTAAGATTTTTCTGAGCTAGTCCTTCGTTGATCTGCCCTATTTCTCTACCTTGTATCTCTAGCATTTATCTATTACAAAGCGTTACCCAGAAATCAAAGAATTACAAACAGTGAAACTCATTTAAAAAAGAAAAAGAAAGAAAGAGTCCAGTTCCAGAGTTTCCCATGGGATTCTAAGCCCCAAGTCCCAAAAGAGACACAGTGCAGCTGCACAGGTTGTAGCAAGAACAAAAAACTGGAGCCCAACCAGTGGAGCTTGTGGGGTCTCACAACAGAGCTTGAAACCAACTAATTTTGTTGAACATTTTCCTTTTATTGATAAAGCCGAACAAGTTGATTTGTTAAGACTAGCTTAGTTGAGACTAGAACCCAGGTCTCCTGACTACTAGTCCTGACTGCACCTCTGGTAGACTGCAGTCTACCAGACTGCACCTCTTCCATACCGGCCAAGCATCCCTTTTCCCTTTGGGTAAATTTAATACCTGAGATATTAGGAAAAGATAAACATTTCTTATTTAAAAAAAATCAAGAGTCTTCATTACCTACCACCCAAATACAACCACTGTTAAAAGTTTGGTTTTTTTCCTTATGCAACTATGTATATGAAGACATACACACATTTGTGCAATTTTCTGTCTGGCTGTTTTCTACTTAACTATTACATGTAAGCATTTTTCCAAGTTCTTCAACTTTATTAAAAAATGGAACTTTTAATGGCAGAATGGGATTGCTTCATTGAGATCTATCATCTTTTATGTAACAAATTCCCTAAAATTAGATATTTGAGTTGTTTCCGCTATTTTACAATGATAAATAAAGCTTCATTGGGTATCACTGTACACAAATCTTGTGTACTTCTGTAATTATTTCTCTACGATAAATTCCTAAGACTACAAATATTATGTCAAAAAGTATGAATAAGCCTTAATACATGATCGTCCAATTGCCCCCTAATGGGATGTGCTACAGTGTACTGTTACAGTGAGCTTATTTAAACTCAGTGTCACATATTATTTTTCTATCTTTTTCAATTTGCTTGGCAAAAATTGATGTCTTTTAAAGCACTAATGGTTTTTTCATTAATCATCAAGTTTAAAAAGCATTTAAGAATTAAGCACACACTTCCTATAGGACCCAGCAATGCTACTCTTAGGTACTTACCCAAGAGAAAGGGAAATATGTCTACAAAGACTTGTGTAGGCCCAAGTCTACAACCTAAATGTACATCAACTGATAAATAGATAAACAAATTGTGATATATCCATACTATGGATTACTATTCAGTAATAAAAAAATAAAATATTAATGCATAAAGCAACATGGATGAATCTCAAAAACATTATGCTAAGTGAAAGAAGTCAAACACAAAAGACTACATATTATATGTGTGATTCCATCTATATGAAATTCTAGAAAAACAAAACTATAATAACAGGAAACAGGTCGGTGCTTGTTTATGGCCAAGGGGCAGGGGAGAGAATCTACTGGAAAAAGACATGAGAATACTTTCTAGGGCGAGAGAACTATATCTTGATTGTGACAGTGGCCACACAACTGTAAACAATTACAAAAATTCATTACTCTCTACACTTAAAACGGGTGGTGTGTGTGTGTGTGTGTAAATTATACCTCAATAAAGCTAGAAAAAAATAAAAACAAAAGCAAAGATCATTTACGAAATTCTTTGGGTAAAACTAACTTATTTTCATTTTTGCATATTTCCTTTAAACTTTTGTCTGTATTCATACATATTCTATATAGCTATAATTATAGAATATATATAAATTTATATTTTAGGCATTTTTATACACAAATAATTTTACATGTTTCTACATAGTCTTCACGACTATAATTTCAAATAGCAGCTGTATACATAATACATAATTATGTACATAATACATAATTGTCCGAAACCCAGGCCATTTCTCTTCTGTTAACAGGTGAATTACCAAGTTGTAAAGCAGATGATTCCTCCTCAATATTTGGACGCCACCAAGTGGAAAAGCTGTGTAATGTTGCTGAGATTGAGTAGACCATTTTATAAACTTTATAAATAAAAAAAATTAATGCTGCAATTTTAAAATTTAAATTAATTTTAAACGTTAAATAAATTTTAAAAATGCAAAAAGACCATTTTATAAATCTAGTCGACCATAATCTCCTGAAGTAACTTAACTCTCAAATCTGAATCTAGGGAAATCAGTTAAGAAAAATAACTTCCTATTGAAATCAAGTCCTTTACAAACTAAAACCACGGATATAAATAATAGACATGAGTCTATTTAAGCCAAACCAAAAATAATTTAGGGACTTGCAAATGTAAATAGCCTTTGCTGTTGGCCAAGCAGGTGACTTTCAACAAAACAATAAGACCTCTCAGGAGGCACAATGGAACCAGTGATGAAAAAGTGGTGACGATTGTCTGCAAGGCCGAGAAAGACAGCAGGAAGCTCACTCCCATTTGGGGTAAAGACATGCTGATTCTCTTTATGAGTCACCAGTATTTTCTCCACACAGTCCTTGGCCTCTCCAGGTCCAGCTTTGACTGTTGCATTGAAACAGTAACTGGCTAGCGCCACAAAAAGAAAAATTATTTCAGGAAAGTGTTTGGTCCCTGCCAGAGTGGACAAAAGAATGACATTTTCAAAAGAATGCCTTTCAATGATACGGAGCCATTGCCTGCCACCAAGTCGGAAGATGAACACCCTGCTCTGCCTGTAATCCGGCATTCCTCCCAATTATTTTTTCTGACACTCTTTAACCCTTCTCCATCTTGCTGCCAACTTCCATAAATTGAAAAAGAACGGTTAAGAAAGAAAAGAAAAGAAAAACTCTAGGAGTGCCACTCCAAAGAAATCTTACAGGAATGTCATGAATCTATAAAATAAGAAACCAGTGAGAGAGAAAACAGCTCATTGAAACAGAACCACGGCTTTACTGTGGTAAATTTACTGTCTTTTATTTGCCGAAATGTTTGTTTTAATTTTAATTATATTTCTTAATAGATAATACATTCATTCAATAAAATTGCAAAAGGTACAGAAGAGTAAACAATGAAAAGTCTCCTTTGAACTGCGTCCCTGGCTGACCAGCCCCATTCCCAGAGACGACCATTAACCATTTCTTATGAATCCTAATGGAAATATTTTATACACACACACACACACACACACACACACACACACATATATGACATTCTCCCCATATAGACATTCAATTCCATTTCTTAGCATACCAGTGGTAAACCACTATACACAATGATGCTTTTTCCACTTAATAATACAATAAATCATGGTGTTCATACCATATCAATACACAGTTTCTCATTCATTTTAAAGCTGTATCATATTGCATCATATGGATATACCATAAGATATTTTAAAAGTTCCTTATTAAGATGGACATTTAGCTTGTCTCCACTCTTCTGCTATTTTTATTATTATCTTCTTACCTGAAAGTCTCTGGGCAAATTTGATTGCATCTCCAACAGGGTCTGAGTTTACAATTTTATCCAGAATACCCAGCTTGAGTGCTTCATCTGCCAAAATATGTCTTCCTAAAACAAAATGAAATAAGTCAAAGAACGATGTGAGATTAAAGCAAAAGCATTACTCTCTCTAGTAGAGAAGGGTATCTGTGCTGGATATACACATCTATTATTAAATGAAATAAATAACCACCACACTGACTGTAGTTAATAGAAAGATCACTGCAGAGGTAACCAGAAAACTTGGATTCGAGATCCAGCTCTATCTTTTACTATTTGTGTGATCACGAAGAACTGTATAGGACTACAATTTTCTTATTTGTAAATGGGAATAATTATGCGTACCTTAGTAATTCTGAGCATTAACTGAAAATAATATATTCTCTTTATATTCTATAAATCTCTATAGAAGCACTTTATAGATCTATATAATAAATATGAGATTATATAATGATAATAATAAAGGTAGTAGCAGCAGAGAGAGTAGAGGCAGTAGAATCTCTTATATCAGCATACACCAAGGGCTGTTGCTGTCTACAAAAAAAAAAAAAAAAGGAAGAAAAGGCAGTGTAGACAGGGGGAAAAAATTAAGTTATAATCAAAATTACACAAGACACTGAAATGGGGTCGACTTATGTCATCATTTAATTTTATTTCACTTCACTTCACTTTATTTTATTTTTGGCTATCCAGTATCTCAACCTCTTCCTTAGTTTGTGGAATCACTATTGTGTGAGCTTTGGAGCCCTAGTCCCTACTACAAAAGCTGAAAAGGAAAGACAAGTGTTCCTTCAGACCCATGGCAGGTAGAGTGTGTCCATGACAAAAGCTTGGCCAACGGAGTGCTCTATTGAGGGTTTTTAGTCTGGAATTAGTGACACTAAGCAGCAGCAACAGTTTACATCTCATTTCACAGGTGGCAACATCTAGTGTCTTGTAGTGGTGGTACTAGGAGCATCTAGTGCCCCGTATAGAACGGTAGCTCTAGAGAGTTATAGAAATTTGACACATTACTTGCTTTCTTGCCGATACCGTACATCCTGCCTTTTGAAAAGTGGTCATCAAATCAGTGGCAGTGGAAGTAATTCCAGTCTTTACTGCTCTTATAGATAGTGTTGGTGAATGCCATCTCTGAGACAAACCCTCCATTCCTGGTTCTTATTAGTGCTTCAAAGAGCTACATATGGGTTTTCTTGATCAAGTGTATAGTTCAATAATTTTTGGCAGGGGTCACTCTGTAACAGCAATATTTGGGTGGTTTTCTGGAAGTGCCTTTGAAAACAGGCTTCTAAATTTCCTCCTGGGGTGAGGACAGTGGTGGAGAATGTGTGGCTTCAGGGTCAAGTCTCCTCTGTAAAACTCACTTTGGTGAGAGGTGCTTGATTCAGCCTCCCCAAGTTAAGGTGGCCAAGTGGAAAAAAAATGGAAGGTGGAAACCTGGGTAATAAAAAGATCTTTGAAGCAACTAACCAGGGGAAACATGAGCTATCCACATGGTGGACTGAAAATTCCGTCAACTTTATTGGTTTCTTCTGGCCTGGATTTTACAAAAGCAAAGAAGTAGACAGATTACTACTCTTACAGAGTCAATGAGATTCCAGGTACTTTTATTTGTGTGAAGGACCTAATGACCCAGCTCTTTATATGCCACCCAAATCCTCAGGCTGAGATTTCAGCTTATTTTTTCATGTGCTGCCCTCAGTGTAGACAACGACCCCAGTCCAATGGGCTCTAATAAGAGCCCTATCTAGAACTACTATAAAGAGACCCTGGAGCAACTGAAGCTGAAACTTCTCTTTTCCACCCTGGGTGATCTCAATTTTTTTTCCAATTTTCTTCATGGCTTCTTTTCCAACCTTTAGAAAAAATTTTCTACATGGAACTCTTTCCAGATGTCATTTTAAAATGCCCCTAAAATTGTACAGAGTACTTAAAAAGATAGGTGTATGATTCTAATGTTAGCTTTCTTCTAATTCACTGTGACCTTTCCTATGCAAATCAAAATTCATCATATTCTTAGTGTTTTTACCTCTTCTCTTCATCATGTTAAAAATATGGTATTTCTACAAGCAGCAGTATTTTGGAAAAGGCCAATTCTAGTTCACTTCATTTATTTTTGTCAAAGAAGCCAGATTTCTCCCAAGATATTCTTGCCTTTCAGGCTTAATACAGAAAACAGGGCCACAAAATTCCTCAGTGTTCGCCCACATGCTTTAATTTCTATAAACTTTGGAATATAAAGACTCATTCACACTCGAGTTGACCCTTGAACAACAGGGTTTGAACTTGCAGGTCCATTTATGTGTGGATTTTTTTTCAATAAATTACAGTACTGTAAATGTATTTTCTCTTATTTTCTTTTTCTAGCTTATTTTATCATAAGAATATAATACATAACACATGTAACGTAGAAAATATGTATTCATCGACTATTTACGTTATTGGTAAGGCTTCGATCAACAGTAGGCTATTAGTAGTTAAGCTTAGGGGGAGTCAAAAGTTATATTAATACATGGATTTTTGACCGTGTGGGGGTGGGTGCCCCTAACCCCTATGTTCTTCAAAAGTCAAGTGCATTATGATTTCCCTCTATATCTTATGCTTCTTTGCTTCCTTCCTATTTTGTCTTTTGCAGAATAAACTATCTCATGAGCTTTGAATTTTCATAGTATGTTGAATTGCAAGCATCCTCTTATAAATTCTACATTAGATACTTAAAGTAGCTCATATTCTTAAATGTGTACTTTATCAGACCACCATAAATTATAACAATTTCTAATTAATTGACTGGCGACAAGAAATTTAATACTTTTTAGTTTTTCTAACTCCCCTTTCTTACTCTACAGGAGTAGGAATTTAGATCATGTATACACAGTTTTGTATTGGGGTTTCTGTGTCAAAACACGAATTTCAATTAACAGCTCTCAAACTTTTTAGTCTTAGGATCCCTTTGCATTCTTAAAAATTATGGAGGACTGCAAAGAGCTTTTGTTTATGTGGGTCATTTCTATTAATATTTATTGTATTAGAAATTAAAACTGAGAATTTCTACAATGTTTCTTTATTAAATCGCTTTAAAATAGTATGATAGGGGCCGGCTGAGTGGCTCAGTTGGTTAAGAGCTCACTCAAGAGTGCGAGCTCTGAGCAACAGGGTCACCGGTTTGATTCCCGAGCTGAGCTGCCACTGAGCTGCCAACAAGTGGCAGGATGGCTCAGAAAAAAAAAAAAAAAAAAAAGTATGATAAACCTATGACATGTTAATATAAATTAATTTTTATGCAAAATAACTATGTTCAAATTTTTTTAAATTTAGTGAGTTAAGTATCATTGTTTTATATTTTTGCAAATTTCTTTCATGTCTGGCTTAATAGAAGGCAGCTGAATTTGCATATCTGCTTCTGCATTCAATATGTTCTGATATCACATGGTATATAATAACCTCTGGAAAATTCCGCTGTACACTTGTGAGAGAACGAGAGTGGGAAAGGCAAGTAATGTCCTATTATTTGAAAACAGTTCTGACTTCATAGTGGTCTGAGGAATACCCAGCATTCCCTGAATCATACTTTAAGAACTCCTGATTGAGGTGATCATTTTAAAGACTATTGTATAGTATCCTAGTTTCTGAATGCTCCACAGATTTTACATTTGTTTGTGGCTAGAGTAATTTTAGTTATTTTGAAAGCAGCCTTTTGTTGTGTGTTGTTTTTAGCCTGTGGAAGCTTGCATGGTTTTATTTCCTGCAAGTTTAAAGTCTTTACCAAAATAGATCAGGGCATTAATATCTCATGTTTTCACAGAAAAAATTGTGTGCTTGCTAAAATACAATCTCTGATTCTAGTTTCTTACTGAAGAGTTTCTTCTATTTTTTCCTTTGATTACTTCTCACCTTTTTGCTTCATGCTTTGGAAGCTCTTATTATTCATAGCAGAGACCTCTATTATATACCTTCCATGTCTGCTGCCTTCATTTACATTTTATGAATCTTTTTGTGAAGTTCTTCTGAATTCTATAAATGTGTCTGTCCTCCATTTTGCTGATTCAGTTTTCTGTTCTATCATGTCTTCTTTTTATTGCTTCAAAAAGAAGTAGATTTAGCTAATGTTTTGATTTTAAACAGAGTGTTCTTTTTTAATAAATAAACTGTTTTTTAATTTAGAATATTGTGAATTTTCTAAAATTTTTGTTTAATGTGTTTCAGCAGAGTCACATTTATGTTTCATTTTTCTTCTGTCACAATATTTTCATAGGTTTTAGGTTTTGGGTTTAGTTTTAAGATTTTGGTTTGTCTGGCTTTTTGTTTTTGTTTTGGTCATGGAATGGTATGTGCAGATATTTATTATTGCTGCCTGGGAGCTCTGGGTACTAAAACTCACCGAGAACATCTTGTCCAAATATACAGGAAATCCACCTGGACCTAATTCTGAAAGGCAAGCAGGATAAAGGTGCCACTTCCAATGTCTCCCCCAATATTCTGAGTAATAAAAGGTATCTCATCAAAGCCTAGGACCCTGGGGGCCACCATGAATGATCATAAAGAATCTCAGCAGGGCTGGGGCAAAGCTCTAAGAGAATAGAGCAGAGGCTTTCTATGCTGTTCAGTGAACAAGGAGGACAGGACCTAGAAAGTAAGAGCAGAAAGAAGGAAGAGGAGGCACTGTCGTTCTTGTCACCTGATTGGACAGAGAACACCAGGGAGTGAACTGCAATGTGCTCAAGCATATCGTTTGTGGTTGCTGCTAAAGATTCAGGCATTTTCAGGAGGAAAGTTAAGGGAATTGTGGAGAAGCAATAATTAGTGCTGTCGTTGCTCCACTTTCCAGAATTCTCTCTCTTATGGATTTCAGAAGATCAGAAAACATTAGCTATTTACTTATTAGTTTAATCCAAATCTACTTACTTATTAATTTCCTATGGGGTTAGTTCCTGCAATACTGGTGTTTTTTCCCCTCATTCACATTAGTAGGGAATCTTTAACTTTCAGTAACAATTAATTGTAACATCCTTTCTTATAAAGTTTTTTTTCCAAACCGCAAAGCAAGATTCCTAATATCATCATTATTATCAGCTACTGTATTAGTTTCCTATTGCTGGTATAACACATTACGATACAGATAGTATCTTAAAATAATACATATTTGTTAGTTTAGGATGTCAGCAGTCTAAAACAGGTCAGCAGAACTGTGTTCCTTCTGGAGGCTTTAAGAGAGAATCTCTTCTCTTGTCTTTTCCAGCCTCTAGAGGCTGCCTACATTTCTTGGCTTGTGGCCTTTTCCTCCATCTTTAAAGTCAGCCATGTACAATAGTATCCTCTCTTCTCTCTGACCTCTTGCCTCTGTCTTCTAAGGACCCTTGTGATAAATTGGGCCCACCTGGAAAATTCAGGATAATCTCCATTTCAAGAGTCTTAATTTAATCACGTTAGTCTCTTTTGAATGTAAGGTAACATATTCATTCACAGGTTCTGGGGATTAGGGCATTGAAATCTTTGGGGGCTGTTATTCTGCTTTCCACACTTAGCCATTTATAAAATGTCTTCTATAGGACAGAAGCATGTCATGTAATCTCATTAGCTCTTAAAATCACTATGTGATTGTTTTACTAATGAGAAAAAAGAGGCTGAGAGGAGTTCAGAAGACCTCTCTCCTAAACTCCAGACCAGTCTATCCAATTATCTACTTGACATCGCCACTTGGATGTCTCATAAGCCTCTCAAATTTAACACATCCAAAACTAAGCTCTTGTGATTCCTTCCTACAACCTGCTTTACCCGCAGAAATCCCCGTCTCAGTAATGGCACCATCCTTCCAGCTGCTTAGGCCATTAGAATCATCCCTGACTCTCCTCTTCCTCTCACACCTGATCTGTCATAAAATCCTGTTGGCTCTACCTTCAAAATATATCCAGAATTTGACCATGTCTCTCCATTTACATTGCTATCACCAGGTCCAAGCTCCCATCATCTCTTCCTTGGATTATGACAGCACCCTTCTAACTAGTCTTCCTATGTCTGCCTTTACCCTTAATATATTTTCAACAACCAGAGTGATCTCTTAAAAACATAAGTGAGAACATGTTATTCCTCTGCTCTAAACACTTCAATCCCTTTCAACTTCACTCATTCAAAAAACCCCCCCAGAAGTTCTTTCTATAATCGTCAAGACTCTACATGATGTGACTTCACCCCCTATTACACTTCCCTTTACTTCACTCCAGCTACATTGACCTTCTTGCTTTTCTTTGAACCTTCCAAGTGTAAGTGTACCCCTGCCTCAGGGCTTTGCATTTGCTATTTTCTTCCTGTGAAACATCGTCCTTAAAATATTAGCATAATATGCTTCCTTATCTCTTTCAGGTCTTTCCTAGCTGCCTTACCTAAAATGTTACCCACCCCTATCCGTAACATTTCACATTCCCCCTTTCTGCTTTGTTTTCCCCTTAGCACTTATCTCCATCCAGCCTGCTATATATATTAGGTAGTTGTATTTCTGAGAACACAGCTGTGGTAGCCAGTCCCTAAAGCGACCCCCAGTGAGTTTGGCCTCTTGGTGTTCAAGCCTCCTCCCACAATGAATAGGAGCACATGTATAATCAATAGGATAGTTCAGAAAAGATGGCATGTGACTCCAAAACTAGGACATAAAAGACATTACAGCTTTCACCTTGCTCTCTTTTGCATCACTCTAGAGCAGCAGTTCTCAACCTTTCACAGGGATTGCCTAAGACCATCAGAAAACACATATTTTCGATGGTCTTAGGAACCGAGACATCACTCCTCTATCCGTCTCCAGGCCCACATGCAGATACGCCCACATACGAGTACCCCGCGACTCCTGTGAAAAGATCGTTGAACCCCCAAAGGGGTCGCGACCCACAGGTTGAGAACCGTTGCTCTAGAGGAAGCCAGATTCCTCTAGACATGTTGTGAAGACACTCAGGCAACTCTGTGGAGAGGTAGATGTGGAGAGGAAATGAAGCCTCCTGCCAACAGTCAGCACCAACTAGCCATCCATGTGAGTGAGCCATCTTAGAAGTATATCCTCCACCCCTAATCAAGTTTTCAAATGTTTTGACTAGAACCTCATGAGAAACCCTAGCTAGAACCCAAATAAACTGCTCCCAAATTCCTGATCCACAGAAACTAGGAGAGAAAAAAATACTGCCAATCAAGCCATGACTCATAATGACTGTAAGAGGCATCCTGATTAAAAGATGTGGAAAAAACTGTGCATTGAATTGATGAAATATAATATGATTATTGTCATTGTTGTTTTCTCCATATAATCTTCATGAAGGCAGGGTTTTTGTTGGTTTGGTTCGCTACTATAGGCCCAATAACTAGAACAGGGCCCAGCACATGAGAGAAGACGAATTATAGTTGCTAGATGAATGAATACAAATTAACTTGCGCAAGGCATATTTATTTATTTATTTATTTATTTATTTATTTTTAAGATTTTTATTGGGGAATTGGGGGATGAGAACAGCGCTGGGGAATTGGGAGAAGTGGAACAGACAAGTTGTTGTCATCTTGTTCCTCAGTCTAGTTGTGGAGGACGTTGCTTCACTGGCCCAAGTTAGCACCATCATTGCGCTCTTCCCGGGCGAGGCAGATCAGTCGCCGGCTTCTGGACTGCCGCTCACTGAGGCTGCTGGCTGCTGGCTACACACGGTAGCCAATGGCAAACCCACTGCAGCAGGGGCTGCAGCCTACGCCGTCGCCGGCGACTCACGGCAGCCCAGCTCCAGGTTGAGTTATTGTTCAGCATTTTAGCTGTAGAGGGCAGTGTCACTGGCTCTCTATGTGGGATTCGAACTGGGGCCCTCTGGTGTCCCAAGCCAGCTCTTAACCAATGCGCCACTCGGCTGGCCCGCAAGGCATATTGTTTAAATGTGGTAGAGTTGGTCTTCAAACTCAGGTCTTTGATTCTGAAGCATGTACTCTTTTTTTAAAGATTTTTATTGGGGAATTGGGGGATAGGAACAGCACTGGGGAATTGGGGGAAGGGGAACAGACAAGTTGCTGTCCTTTTGTTCTTCAGTCTAGTTGTGGAGGATGTTGCTGGCACCATCATTGCGCTCTTCCTGGGTGAGGCAGATCAGTCGCTGGCTTCTGGACGGCCGCTCACGGCGGCTGCTGGCCACTCACACTGGCTGCCGGCTACACATGGTAGCCCATGGCAACCCACTGCAGCAGGGGACTGCAGCCTATGTCGTCGCTGGCGACCCACGGCAGCCCAGCTCCAGGTTGTGCAGCATCTTAGCTGTAGAGGGCAGTGTCACTGGCCCTCATATGTGGGATCCGACCCGGGGCCCTCTAGCTTCCCAAGCCAGCTCTTAACAACGCACCACTCAGCCGGCCGCATGTACTCTTTTTATTGCCAGTTCTTCAGGATATAGTCTATTACCAAGATCCTCAGTTTATTTTTACTCAATTCTCTTCTTTAACTAAGAAGACAGGTATGGGGATAATAATAAATAGCTGAAACTTATGAAGTTACTATGTCTAGGACTATTCTAAGTACATTGTATGCATTAACTAATCCAGTCTTCACCACACTGTATAAGTATATGGTAGGTACTATTATTATCCATATTTATGAAGTAACTAAGGCACAGAAAGGTAAAGTGACTGACCCAAGGTCTCATAATTATTTATACCAGTTTTCAGTAAATAGTTGCATATGTTCTTTTCTCCAACTTTACCTCATCTGGAAATATCTCTATATGTCTTATGGTATTTGGTAAAACCTAATTATTTTCTAGTGTTGCATTGTTCACATTCCCTATTGAAAGAGAACATCTTCATATTTGTAGCAAATATCTTAATACTTGGGAAATGAAAAATTCAGTCATTTCCACATTAAAACTTGAAACCATTCCTTGAAACTTCTGGTTTTAATTCTTGTTTATATTACAATTTGTAAATTAGATCAGAATATGATGCACTCTATGTGAACACCAGTGTCTATGAGTAGACACTTGAGCTATAATAAAACCCTAAACGTGATTAGCACTTTGTATACTTTTTTAGAAGGCACTCACATTGATCTTCATGTTAACATTTGAGAAGCTCTCAGGGAACATATTCTTTCCATTTTGTAGACAAGAACACTGACAATCAAAAAAGTTAAAGTATCCTTTTAAGATCATATAGGTCAAGAATGGTCAAGCCAGTTTTCTAAATCCTAGTCCAGCTCCTCACATTGGTCTAAACAGCTGTTGGTACGGTTTGTACTGACCTGAGGTAATTAAGTCAAGTGCAGCAGGAACTCCAATGAGTCTGGGAAGAAGCTGGGTTCCTCTTGCACCAGGAAGGAGTCCTATTCTGACTTCTGGGAAGCCAACTTGAGCCTATCAAAATTTGAAGACATGAAGGTTATTACAATGAGATGATATGTAGAGTCAAGGCAAGCATTATCTGGGATTTCCCAAATTCTCGAAAACATTGTCTTATAGGACTAAGATCCAAGATGGCAGAGTAGATAAACTCTATGCTTGCGTCATCCAGTGAACACATCAAAATTACAACTAAATTATACAACAATCAACCTGGAGAACCAACTGAAGTCTAACTGAACAGAAGTTTTATATCTAAGAATATAAAGAAGAAACCACATCAAGACTGGTAGGAGGGGTAGAGACGAGAAATGGGCTATTCCCAAACCCACGTGTGGTGGTCGAAAATCAAGAGCTATCTCAGCCATAGAGGGTGCCCCACGAAGGAGCGAGGTACCCCAGCCCCTCACACCAGGCTCCACAGCCCAGAGTACTGGTGCCAGGAAGAGGAACCCCCACAACTCCTGACTATGAAAAACAGTGGGGATTCCAACCGTCCAAGTGGAATGAAAGGCTGCGGGAAACCCCGAGATCCTCTTAAAGGGCATGCACAGGCACTCACCTGGGCTTCGGTGGAGAGACAGTGAGTCTGGGGGTGTCAGAGACTCACGGAGAGAGACTGAGTTGTGTAACTTCAGGAAGAGGACTGGAGAAACAGTCCCCATTTTCCTGGTGTGGGGCCCTACTCCCATGTAGCCGGCATATGGGTGCCATCTTTCCTGGTTGAGCTGCCCCCACAGTCCAAATCTGAATCTGATTGCTCTAAGTGAGCTCTGCTGCTCCACCCTTCTGTCCCACTGAGACCCTACCCTGCCTGAACCAACTTGCGAACATTGGCTTTCTTAGTGGCTAAACCTTACAGGAGCCAGCAGGTGGCAGCAGTGTCCCGGCTTTTTGCGGAGCTACACCAGACCTGGTACTGGTGGCAGCCATCCTTGGTTCACAGTGTGGCCTCTCCCAGGCGCCTCCAGTTATAGCACAAGCAGCAACAAACCATGGATCACTTTGTAGCTCCTACCAGGTACTCCCTGACCAGTCACAGGCAGTGGTTGACCTGGGCCTGCACCGGAGCCCCTCCCTAGAGGACTCTGTATGTTGATACTTGGAGATTGGCTTCAGACCACAGCAGAGCACCACCCAATTAGCCCCACAAGCGGTACACCCGAAGGGCAGTCTCAACAGGCACTCCTATGTTCACTGCAGCACTATGTACCACAGCCAAGATAGGGAAGCAACCCAAATGCCCATCAATAGACGAATGGATAAAGAAGATATGGTACATATACACAATGGAATACTACTCGGGCATAAAAAAGAATGAAATCTTACCATTTGCAACAACATAGATGGACCTAGAGTGTTTTATGCTAAGTTAAGTAAGTCAGACTGAGAAAGACAAATACCATATGATCTCACTTACATGTGGGATCTAAAGAACAAAATAAACGAACAAACAAAACAGAAACAGACTCATGCAGAGAACAAGCTGATGGTTGCCAGAGGAGAGGGTTGGCAGGGAGCTGGGTAAAAAAGGTGAAGGGATTAAGAAATACAAATTGGAAGTTACAAAATAATCTTGGGGATGTAAAGTACAGCATAGAGAATATAATCAATAATGTTGCAACAACTATGTATAGTGCCAGGTGGGCACTAGACTAATTGGGGGGATCACTACATAAATTATATAAACGTCTAACCACTATTCAGTACACCTGAAAATAATATAAAATAATATTGAATGTCAACTGTAACTGAAAAAATATATATATATATTTTTAATTACATAGAAAAAAGGCCAGCACAAAATAAAATCAAATGTTAATAGTGCTTATTTCTGAACTGCAAGTTTATGGTGATTTTACTTTACATCTTTATACTTTCCTGTATATTCTAGTCTATTACAATGATAACTATTATCTTTATCATTAGAATACTATATTACTTACAAAAATGTTACCATTATAAGATTGGTATTCTACATAGTAGCCTAAATTAAATCTACTTCCAGAAATAAATGGATTTATTAGTTGTGTGCTCTTTTCCAATAGGAATGCTTCTTCTTAGGTACTGATAATTATAAGGGACCATAAAACTTAAATCTTCGAGATAGGAAAATAAAAGTTTAAATAGGAATGCATACTCAGAGGTGATAATCAAAATATTTAATACTTCCTAATGTATGAACATGTCTCAGTGAAATCTGATTTGGGCCATTGTACTGGAGCAGATCCTAGGGCCCTCCACTGACCCAAGAGTTCCACTTTAGTTGGTGGTTTATGGGGTGATCCAAGGGCTAGTGTTAGGAGAAGCAAAGGGACAGTCAGGAGGCTCAGGGTAGCAGCTATTTAACAACGAGGATAGATGTATGTTAACATTTTAACAATCAGTACCACTGAACTGGTACATAATAGCTGAGCACCAGTGCTAGAGATACGCAAGAGTTGTCAACCAGTAAGCTAACCATTTGAAAATGATCACCTCTGATGTTTATGACTATATTTTAAGCTTGCCCTAAAGAAAAACCCCACACACCAAGTCCCATAAGTAGCCTCAGCTGTTACCTCCGCATGGGCAATCCTATAGTGACAGCCCAGGGCTATCTCTAGTCCCCCTCCTAAGGCCACGCCTTGGATAGCTGCCACCACAGGCTTCTCATTTCTCTGTATTTCATCTACTACATCTCCCAGTGAGAAGTTAGAAGTAACAGGAGCGCTGAAGCCACGGATATCAGCACCTATGGACATAGAGACAAGGAAAACAGTTGATAAAGACATGGGCTTTATTATGTAACAATAAGGTACCAGATAACTCTTACGGAATCTCAGACCTCTTTGGACCCATGAAACACTTCATCCTTTGGGTGGAGACACAGTAAAGAAACAAATAACCTGGAAAATGTAGATCAATGTGAAAGAAAATCCTCAAATGTTTGTCAGGAATCCTGTAATCTTCTAAAAGCTGTGATTCCATGTGCTAGGTAGCAATTCTACCTTTAGAAAAATTAAAAAGATCAGAAAAGGGAAATAGAGATTCTCCTACCACGACCATTATTCTGAGATTGAGTCAGCCTCTTCCATTTTTTTCTATGATACTGCTCACCAAACCTACTCACAGCAATTTCGAGCTGTTATTTTTGTTAAGGGTGTGAGTTATTACAATATAAAATCACAGGGTAAAATGTATGCATATCTATGAGTTATATGTTAATCAACCAGCTTAGAATTATGTTTTTGTGACAGATTTTTTTGTGATCAATAACAGTAAAAACACTTATTGCTTTTCCTAATTATAAAAATATCATGCATTATGGAAATTTTGAAAAATATGCAAAATTATAAAGAACCTAAAAATCACCCCAAATATCACCAAACAGATAACAATGTAGCATTTGATAAATTCTTAGTTTTTTCCCAATGCAAATGTATAAATGGCTTTGGGACCTTGAATAAGTTATTTAACCTTTTGTCTCAATACCTATCTAAATGACTGATGTCAGAATTAAGTGCAAGTTTACTATAATATATATATTTTAGTAATATTGAGAGCATTCTGTAATATCATTTTTTATATTTTATTTTTTCACATAACATTACACATAGTGAGCTTTCCCCCATAACATTGTATTTCTCTAAAATATTAAGCTTCATACAAGTTAAAAAGTTAAAATAATCATTTCATGTTCAGCCTAATTGTCTTTTTTTGTCTTTGATTCCTGTACCTCATCTAACATCAATTGAGGGATTATGTTTTTTTCTCACTAAACCATCATATTTTACACTCTGGCCTATTATTATTATTATGTTGTTGTTGTTGTTATTATTATTATTATTATAATTATTGTTTAGGTTCCTTTGGTTCTAGCTAAACAAGATAAATTTCAATTTGAATCTCAGGCCTATCATTCCTGTAACTTTAGATTAAAATGGTTTTCCATGTAATAATACCAATTAACATTTATTGGATAAATACATGAGGCACAGTGCTAAGTTATCTCATGTAACTTTCTTAAAACCTAGATTAAGTAGTGTAACTCTCCCCATTATACAGGTAGGGAAGTTAAGGTTTTAAGATGTTAAGTGACTGGTTCAGACATATGACTAGCAACTGGTAACATAAGGGTTTCAACTCAGGCAGTTTGACTATATACCACATTCTTAAATTTTACACTACATTCTTCTCCTTGCAGCATAAGGTTAGTATTATTATCCCAGTTGTACAGAAACTAAGGCACAGACAAAGGTATAGTGATTTCACTTTCCAACTCTTCATTTCTGGCATATAGAAATGCAATCAATTTTTGGATATTGATTTTCATATCCAGTAAAACTGCCAAATTCTTATTAACCCTAATAATTTTCCAATAGATTACCTTTAATTTTTCTATAGACACTATCATATCTTCTGGATAATGAAGTTTGTTTCTTTCTTGCCAATCCTTATACATTTTATTTCTTTCCTTTTTTTTTT